AAAAATCTTCACACCAGTCATGCCATAATACTTGCTTTTCCCACATAAATCACAAATCTGCTGTGATGTTACCACCGCAAAGGATTCTGGGTGGTCAAATGCCAATTAGTTTAATAAAGAATCACATTTTTGCCTCATTCCATTTTAAACATGGATTCCAGCTTTGAAACACAACTTAGAAAAAGACTCAAAGCCAGTGAACCACTCATGGACAGCTGCTTCATTGTTAACCCCTTAAGGACGGAGCCAAATGTACACGTTGTGAACAAAACAAAATGTAAACAAAACCTGGCATTTGCGCTACATGTCTGTCCAACCGTAATTCAACTCTTTCATAGTAAATGCACCCACACTTATTATATATCATTTTGTTCAGGAGAAACAGGGCTTTCGTTTCATATCAAATATTTATATATGAAACATGATTTATTATGAATAAAATTTAAAAAACTGTGAGAAATTTTACATTTTTTAAAAAATTTGTAGTTCCGCTCACATTTTAGCTGTAAATGTCATAATACTGTTAGGTTTTACTGCAAAAAAATGCACATATTTGTAGCGATGTCTCACGAGTACAACAGTACCCCCCATTACCAGGTTTTATGGTGTTTTGGAAAGTTACAGGGTCAAATATAGAACGTTCCATTTTCACATTGAAATTTGCCAGATTAGTAATGTTACCTTTGAGACAGTGTGGTAGCCCAGGAATGAGAATTACCCCCATAATGGCAGACCATTTGAAAAAGTAGACAACCCAAGGTATTGAACGTGGGGTATGTTTAGTCTTTTTTAGTAGCCACTTAGTCACAAACACTGGCCAAAGTTAGCGTTCAAATTTGTTTTTTTGTGAAAAAAGCAAAAAACTAATATTTGGCCAGTGTTTGTGACTAAGTGGCTACTAAAAATGACTGGACATACTCCATTTGCAATACCTTGGGTTGTCTACTTTTGCAAATGATATGCCATCATGGGGGTAATTCTTATTCCTGGGCTACTATACGGTCTCAAAGGCAACATAACCAATCTGGCAAATTTCAATGTCAACAAAATGAAATGCAAGGACAAAAAACATTTTTTTTTTTTTAAATAATGCAAATATTAAAATAATAATATAATGTTAAAATAATATTATTATTTTACTATTATATTATTTTATTATTATTATTTTAATATTTGCATTATTTTTTTTAATGTTTTTTTGTCCCCCCTCCCTGCTTGTTGCCTGGCCAGGGAGGGTGGACAAAAAACATTTAAAAAAAATAATGCAAATATTAAAATAATATAATAATAAAATAATATTAAGATATTTTATTGGTACAGGTAGCTTTAATAATAATATTATTATTTTAATATTATATTATTTTATTATTATTATTATTTTAATATTTGCATTATTTTTTTTATTTTTTTGCCCCCCCCCACTGCTTGTTGCCTGGCCAGGGAGGGGGGACAAAAAACATTTAAAAAAATAATGCAAATATTAAAATAATAATATAATGATAAAATAATATTATTTTAATATTATTTTATTATTATATTATTATTATTTTAATATTTGCATTATTTTTTTTTAAATGTTTTTTTGTCCCCCCTCCCTGACCAGGCAACAAGCAGGGAGGGGGGACAAAAAACATTTTAAAAAAATGCAAATATTAAAATAATAATAATATTATTAAAATAATATAATATTAAAATAATAATAATATAATAATAATATTAAAATAATATAATAAAATTATTATTTTTTTAAATAAAATGCCCTCCCCTGATCCAGTTTACACACACTGCACAAACACACACACTGCATTATATACACACTGCATTATATACACACACACAAACACACACTCTGCATTCATTATATACACACACAAACACACTCTGCATTCATTCTATACACACACTGTAAATAAATATTCAATTAATGTAATTTTATTGGGATCTAATTTAATTTAGAAATTTACCAGTAGCTGCTGCATTTCCCACCCTAGGCTTATACTCGAGTCAATAAGTTTTCCCAGTTTTTTGTGGCAAAATTAGGGGCCTCGGCTTATATTCGGGTCGGCTTATACTCGAGTATATACGGTATATATATATATATATATATATATAATATATGTGTATATATCTATTATATATATATATAATATATATACATATTATATATATGTAACGTCATTCTAAGTGTATTTTAATATTAATATATACTTATATTAATATTAAAATACATTACGTATGACGTTATATGTATATAATATGTATATATATTATATATATATATAATATATACACATATATTATATATATAAAAATATATTTAATTTATTTTAACATGTTTATTTTTTATTTTTTTTTACACTTTCCACCAGCAGGGGGACTGTCTTCTATTTCAGACAGCCCCCCTGCTGGCAGATCCACAGCCAGCTATAGGGGGCCATGTGATAGCTCTTTGAGAGTGATCACATGGCCCCCGGGGACCTGATTCACCGGAGGAGGGCTGCCTGGGCGGTCTGGCAGCCCTCCAGAAGAGGATTGCGGCGGAGGTAAGTACCGCCGGTCCTCTGGGGGCTCAAAGCCGTTACGGCGTTCTAACGTGACAGCATAGAACGCTGTTTTTTCACTTGGGTAATAAAATTGTAACAGTATTACGCTATGTCAGTATCTTTTCTATTTTAAGGTTTGGATACATATAAAGACACAGATTTTACTTATATGCTACTGTTGCAGCAACTAATCCCTGTGAATTGCTTGGAAGTACCTTCAATTAAGACTGAAATTGGAACTCTTTGATGGACAAGACATTTTTGGGTTGAACCCTGTGTTTACTACATAGGGGTATATTCACTTAGCGCTGATACTAATTTTGTTTTTATTTTGTGTCTTATAAGATATTTTAAAAATTTGGGAAGGTTTTTTATTGTATCTAGCAGCTTTCCAATTTAATTTTCTTGTGGAACACTAAGTTTGGGGCATTGTCCTAGAAATTCCACTGTATTATTCTTGACGTGCGCTCTCTATACTGTTTTTGTATAGAACGCTGTAACGGCGGGAAGGGGTTAATGCAAATCATCAGCATGAGGTTAGTTACTGGTTTGCTTATTGAGGCTTGGTAGTGCTTGGGAAGCAAAAACCAAACGGTTATGGTGGGGAAAAAATAGTGATTGAAAACCCCCTCTACCTAAAGTCTGTGGATAGTTAATACAATGTTAAACAAAAATCTGCACAACAGTCAAGCCATAATACTTGCTTTTCCCACAAGCAAGTCTTGACTGGTGTGCAGATTTTTGTTTAACATTGTATTAACTATATTTATATATATATATATATATATATATATATATATATATATATATATAGTTAATACAATGTTAAACAAAAATATATATACAAAGGTTAGGGAGCACTCAGATGTCTTCCAATCGTGCAAATGGTGTTTTATTGTGTCATCCAAAATACAACTGTGTTATAAATCAAATCACCATTATATTATGGTACCTTTATCCTGTAGTGTTTTTCTATTATGGAACTTTAACACTGTGGTGCCTTTAAACTGTGATGTCTTTAAATTGTGGTGCATTATGCAGCTGTGCCTTATGCTATAATGTCTTTGTACTGTGATGCCTTTATGAAGTGGTGCCTTTATACTGTGGCGCATTTAAACTTTGGTGACTTTTGCACCTTGTTGCGTTTTAATCACCTTGCAGGCATTTTTACTTTATTTCGAATGCTTCCCCTCAGTCCCGGCGATTGATTCCTGGTTTCCTGGGTGTTCAGAGGCCATGTATGCTGCAGACCAAGCTCTCTGCATGGGTGTTCGGAGGCCATGTGTGCTGCAGACCCAGCTCTCTAAACAGCAAATATACACAGAAGATGCCCTCGCACCCTGTACTGATGACTTGCATTATGGGAATACAAGTTGTGGCAGCCATCTTGGATAAGGACAATTGCCAGAAAGTTCCTAAAATGGAGGTAAAATACAGTAAACATCCCAAACTTATTTGGAAGGTATTTCCAGGTTCTCCAGACATGGTTAAGTGCTGTTTTTTTGGCACGTTTTAAATCTCTTTGACTGTTTCCTTGGTAATAGAATTTGACAGTGCTCTTTTGTACTTTAGTACTTTGCCACAGGTAATATTTATTTTTTATTTATTTTATTTTATTGTTTGTTTGATGTCTAAATCTACACCATGTTCTGGTTCTGATGGCAATGCAGTGGAAGGAAAACAGTTGCACATTCACTGTCTCCAGAAGGTAGACACTTCAGCATCACCTATACTTGCACAGCCACATGACATGTTGGCATAGCTTACAAAAGAAGTTGCAGGGTATTGTCTGAATCTACACCATGTTCTGATTGTCTTGGGAAAACAGTGGAAGGGAAATAGTTATGCACTGACTGTCTCCAGAAGGTAGCCTCTTCAGTATCACCTATGCTTGCGCAGCAACATGACATGCTGGCATGGCTTACAAAAGAAGTTCCAAGATATTTCAGAGACCTTAAAGGTAAGAAAAAGTGGCCAAACTTTACCCTGTGGAGGAAGGTACTTCCACCCCCTGGAATACACCACCTAAGGTGGATGCACCTATTTCCAGGGTAGCCTGTAGGGCGATGCTACCACCTGGGAACTCTGCTTTTTTAAGCAAGCCTATGGATCAAAGTGGACGCAGGCCTGTTCAAATTTATGCGCCTGCTGATGCAGGATGTCATCCAGCTGTAGCTTTCACTGCTGTTTCTAGAGCCATGAAAAGTGTGATTAAAGATCCAAATGCTGCTGTGGAGAGAGATATTAAGAGCCAATATTGAAGATGAAATCTGGAGTCTTTAGGTTACAGCTGACTTCTTCACAGAAGCTTCCCTAGATGTAACTAGGATATTCTCTTGAACAAATGGCTTTATCTATAGCAGTTAGAAAAGTATTATGGTTCTGTTTTTGGGATGATGACTCATCCTCTAAGTGTACCCTCTACATCATTCTATTTGAAGGGGAGCTGCTGTTTAGGAAAGCTTTGGATGAATCCATTAAGAAGGCAGCTGAGGGCTGCAAGGTACTTGTACCTCAGGATAGAAGATCCAAGAAACCCAGCTCCTCATGGTCAGACAGGAGAACCTCCAGTGACCAGCATTTCCGAGATACATGGATTAATGGCTCTGCAAGGAATACTCCAGAGGTAACTCGTGGCAGTTGGCAAACCTGCCTTTCAAGGTTCTAATAGAGCTATGAAGCAGTATTTTCGCTCTTCAGCAATGAACTTGTGGCTGTCCTCCAGTACTAGGAGTCTTACTTTTCTGATAAGACATACCTGGTCTTGTCACATTCTGCAGACTTGGGTGATATCCATTGTCCAGATGGGATATAGACTGGAGTTTTCTTCAGACACGGGAGTCTATATACCAACAACAGAATTCATACAGATATATCATAAGGTATAGCACTGAAGGAATATGTAAGAAACCTTCCGGATGAAGATGTGATTTCTCAGGTCCCATAACAAAAGCATTTCCAGAGACAATATTCGCCTCTCTTCTTGTTAAAAACGTAAAGGCACATGGAAGCCTATACTGAACCTAAGAAGGGCCAACAAAAGGCTGAATGTCAGAGCCTTCAGGATGGAGTCGATCAGATCCATATCCTCAGAAATTTGGAAGAACAATTTCCTTATCTCTACATATCTCAAGGATGCTTACGATCACATTCCAATAGCCCTAGATAATCAGCATTATCTCAGATTCATTATAGGAGAAGAGAACTTCCAATTTAGTGCCCTACCATTTGGCCTCACTGCAACCCCAAGAACCTTTTCTCAAGGTACTGGTTGTGCTTACAGTGATATTGAGTCCAGACCACCCAACTGTTTCCATTATCTGGTCGAACTATTTCTGGTACCCTCAGACCCAGGCTGCTTGATGAATATCAAGAAAAGCAGTCTCACACCAGCTCAGAGGATTACATTTCTGGGTGGAGAATTCTATACTCATTGCATGCATTTTCCCTATCTCAAGAACAGATCCATGGATTGTGGAAGTTTTCTCTTCTAGTTTCCTTATTTTAGCTTGATAACAGCAAGAAAGTAGATGCAACTACTAGGAATCCTGGCTTCCACCATCAGACTTGTCAGATAGGCTCAATGACATCTCAGGATTCTTCAAAGGTCCTTCCTATCTAGGTTCAACAAGAGAAAGATGAATTGGAGCCAGCCACTGATGAAGCCACACTGAATGGAGCTGCATTCCTTGCTTGGTAGCTGAAAATAGAGAAATATAGCTCTGGGTTTCCAGTAAACAGAACCTCATTGGGCAATTATTAGCTCGGATTCCAGTATTCAAGATTAGTATTAGATCAAGTATTTTGGACCATGATACACAAGGTCTGTGGATAAGGGAAGGAACAATATTACCATCCAATTTTATGGAATTACTTGTCATGTTCAGGGCTCTTCTTCACTTCAGAGGGTTGCTGAAGAACAAATGGGTCCAAATTTGCTCGAATATCAATGCGACTGTATCCTCTATCAATCATCATGGTGGGTCACACAGCCACATATTAATGAGGGAATTACAGCCCATGATGATCAGGGCACGGAAGAACAACCAGGGGCTCAGAATACAATGGCTGATTACCTGAGCCTTATAACAGTGGACAAGGTGGAATGGCAACTATATCCTCATGGTTGACTCAGATTTGACTGATACCCTACATAGACCTGATGGCCACTTCTTGGAACTACCAGGTCCAGAAGCATTTTTCTAGATTTTAGGACCAGAATGCTCACAGTCAGGATACTCTAACTGAAATTTGGTATTTCAGTCTGATGTACATATTTTTCCTGTTTTCAACTCTCCTAATGGAAATTCAAAAGGAGGCAGTGGAAGGCCGTGTTAATTCTAAATCTCTATAATGAGTAAGATAAATCTGGGACCTCCAAGGGAAATTCCAGTACATCCTGACCTATTATTACAAGGTCCTTTGACACACCAAGATCCTCAAGCTCTGGTGTTGTTGTGATAGTCTCTATAAATATAAGCATCCTTGAGACGGTCATTAAGATCTTCTTACAGTCCTATAAATACTTTATATATTACAAAACGTGGCATGCATTTGACTGTTGGTCTCAAGAATAGAGGTTGGAATTACTCCTCAATAAGGCCTAGAAAGGGTCTAAGTTATGACACTCTAGAGGAGCCCATATCAGCACTTTCCACATTGATGGGTACCCATTGAGCATTGGAGCCTCTGGTGCTTTGCTTCATGTAAGTAGTGATTAAACTATAGCCTCCACTGAGGGTGTTCATGCTAATATGTGACCTACCACTGATCTTACAGGCTCTGACTAAACCATCATTTGAACCTCCAACAGGAGCTTCCATGGTGTTAGCACTGAAAGTGCTGTTGCTGGTGGCTGGTAACTCAGCAAGGTGAATGTGTGAACTCCAGGCTCAGTTCTGTGAACCACCATTCACTAATTTTCAACAGGATATGGGTATCCTGCACCAGAGATACTGCCTAAGGTGATCTCGAAATTCCACTTGTACTGGGAGATTGTTACCTTCTTCGTTAACCTTATCCTTCTTCTCCAGAAGCACAAGTCATGCATAATCTGGATGTGGTTAGAGCTGTCTCCCTCTATCTTGAAAGGACCAGCTCTTTCCATAGGTCATCTAGATTTTTATTCTCCCATTTGGCCACAGACATGGCAAAGTGGCCTCAATCTCCACCTTGAGACAGTGGGTGGTAGCAGCCATCTTGAAAGTTTATCAATGCCATTCTCTACGTGTACCGAAGGGTATCAGGGCAGTTGCAGCATCTTGTGCTTCCATGGCAATGGTCTCTGCTGACAATTTTTATAAAGTTGGCATTTGCACCTCTTAAAACACATTTGTCCGGCATTACATACTGGACGTTAAAGCAGTCAATGAGGCACATTTTGGACGTCCTTAACTCAGTTCAATCTTCTATTCTGTGTTGAATTGTTCTGATTATTTGATTGACAGTTATTTAGGTTTCTCTCCCTCTCTTTAAAGCTTGGAGATTCACATTTATATATGTTGCCATGATTTGTTTCCAGGAAAATGGAAAATGTATTCATACTTACCGTAATTTATTTTTTTTCTTGGCAATTATTCATAGCTGCACATACTGCTCACCTATCAGTGTCTCTTTTTATCTAATGTAGAGCTTGTTACTGACTGAGGACCTTAGAAATGGAGCCTCCTTTTAAAGCTTTTGGTGTTTTTTCAGTCCTATCAGCTGGAAGGGGTGGATCTAACCTATTTGTATATGCTACCATGGATAATATCCAGAAAAAGAAAATTACGGTAAGTATAAATAAATTTTCCACTATACTGATCAGCCGCAACCTTAAAACCACTGATAGGTGAAGTGAATAACGTTTATTATTTTGTTACAATGGCACCTATCAAGGGGTGGGGATATATTAGTCAATAAATAAACAATTAGTTCTTTAATGTTGGAAGCAGGAAAAGATGAGCAAACAATCTGCCTACTTTGAAATAGTTGTGCTTCTGTGTGTGGCATTGTCCACTTCCTCATCTGCTCTGTATGCCTCTTTGTACCTCCCCAGCCCCTTTGTGTGTCTCGTTGTGACTGATCAGTGTGTGTGTGTGTATATATATATATATATAAATTATATGCAAAATAGATGGCTTGCACTCACGGACTTTCAATAAAAATTAGCTTTTATTCCAAAAAAGTTAACAGGATCAATGTTTCAGTCCCTCATAGGGACTTTATTCTGGATCATAAACATACATATATTAAACAATGTGAATATATAGGATACATAAATAAGTATATTGACTTACCCCAGGTGCAGTGGTTGAAACCGGTGTCCTGCCAGAACCCATGCGCATGCATGATTGGAGCTCCACCCCCAATCGTGACGTGATTACGCTATCATAATCATAGTTATGCGGCATGTTTACAATTTCTATGGGAACGTGAATATGATGACGCGAGTTCCTCCTTCTTAGTGCAACCGGCTCATAAGCCCAAGGGACTCAGTGAGTTTTAAGGTGCTACATAATTGAAATCTTAGAACTGAGAGAATAGAATGAATGTAGACCAGACTTCTAGAAAATGTAAGTTATATTGTGCCCGGTATTGTAAAGTGCTATGAATTTTAAAGTGCTATTGTATCTAAAGTGATTCACTGTTAATAAAGTGCTCCAGTGAAAACAAAAGATATAGAAAGTGACTTCGTGCTAATGTTAAAATACTGTGGTATGTGCAATAAAAATGCCAGAGAAGGTGACACTGATACAATGTATAAACAAAGTAGTAAAATTATACTTGCCGGCTATATGCATAGATAAATATGATTAAAGATATAAATCATACCATTTCATTCAAAGGCACTAAATTTCATGTTTTCTAGTGCTGTATTTATATTATTATTAATTACCACTATTTCCAAAATTTCACCAAGATTGTAGGGTCATTATTCTTCTGTCTGCAAGAATATATAAAAAAATTAAAACCAATGCAGGCTATAGAAAAGGAGTTAATGAATGAAGAGATAAAGTCTTGTTAAGTCCTTTTGGAGATACTATGTTTAATTCATGGATCCAATAAGCTTCCTTGTTTAGGAGAAGTCTTCCACTGTCACCACCTCTCTTAGGAACTGGTAAATGGTCTATAGCCAGAAATTTTAATGTGGTAAGAGGGTGTTTATGTTCTAAGAAGTGTTTCGCGACTGGCTTATCTGAATGTCCATCCCTATAGGCCAGTCTAATGCGAGACCTGTGGCCCCTAATACGTTTACAAATAGCTGTTTCGGTTTTCTCTATATACAAAAACCACATGGACACATGAGTTTGTAGATTACATGACAGACGCACAGTCGGATTTGCCGGCATATGTGCTAACCTTACCCACACCCCCATTAAAACACGGACACAGGTTATACTGTTGGAAATAATTCATCCACAGCTTTATTAAATTATTAATAAAATAATTAAGGAATAACAAATGGGGTCATTGCCAACAAATCTTAATGTTAACATCCCCCATATACATAACATACCCCTAGCAATGACCCCACAATAATAACAATAGATAATCTAAATAACATGTTAATACAGAAACTGGCCAACCAATTTGACCACATTTCCACCAGGTTAAATTGTAGGGGTGTACCAAGACACCGCTACC